TTTAAGACAGAGCCATTGCCATGCTGCAATGAGTTTCAATGACTGGTAAGACTGAGGAATTCGCACTGACCGTCTAAGACAGGCAGCGTCCCTTAAACAAACAATAAATAAGGAGGAATCGGATGCAGACAGTACAGACCCGGTCAGGAGGCCAAGCCACTCTGGGCCCAAGCGTTGTTGACCGTCCAAACCATAGGCTCTGAGGATCAGACATTAACTACCTAGTAGACATAGCAAACTGTCCCTCATCTGATTATTCAGTAATGCTTGTTAGTAATCTCATACATGAGCCCTGGATATCCACAGACAAATGTAAAAACCTTCCCTAAAAGCCGAGACCATAAATTCCAAAAAGGCAAGTACACCCTCATCCAAAAAAAAAAGCTAAAGAGGATAGAAACACTGTTAACTGATGATATATGGAGGGGATAATAATCAATGTAATGAAACAAACTATATGAATGGTTGAATGTGAAGCTGATGATGTGCCCTGTAAACTTTCACTCAATCCAAAATAAAAACATTTAATTAAAAAAAAAAAAAGAGTGTGTGTGGGAAAAGTGTCCCCACTAAATAGGTTTCATCTTGTTTAGATAGGTCTGATAAAAAAGAGATGGGGATAAAATTCTTATGATTCAATAATGAGTAATTGTTATCATGACCAATTGCAACTGTCACAATTGTAAAGGTAGATATGTAACAAAAATGGTGGAGTAGTTAATCCTACAGTCCAGAAACAGAGGACCCTAGGACCATCAAGGGAGAAGAGCACAAGTGGAATGCAGGACCCTTTCCAGAGAAGCAGGGACACCAGAGATGGAGGCAGAGATGGGGACATGGGAGAGAGGGAGCAGCTGAGGACTGTGGATTCATGGGAAGAGAGGGACTGAGAGCTGGCAGCCAGGAGGCAGGCTTGCAGAATGGGTCCTCTGGTGGTGTAAATGATTATATATCCCTGAGTGTTTTAAAAATAAAAAAAAAGGAGCTAAAATGAATATAGAAAAATACTGTTAACGGATAGTACATGGAGGGGATTATAATCATTGTAATGAAACAAAGTATATGATTTGTTGAATGTAAAACTGATGATCTGCCCTGTAAACTGTCACTCAAGTCACAATAAAAACTTTAAAAAAGAAGCGGCAGAGGAGAGACCAGACTACCACTAAAAAGAACTGGGAATGGAGCACATCCTTCACAGCCAGGGACCCTGTACTGAGAACTTCATAAACCCAGGGGAAGATTGATTTCTACACCAATGGAGATCTCCAAGGAAGATCAGGCCCATAGCTGTTGAAGGGAGACAAGGATCTTTCTCCAGAGTCAAGAGGGATACAAAGCCTTCCCCGAGAACTGGCACCTTGACTGTGGACTTCTAGCCTCCTACACCGAGCAAAAATAAATCTGTTTGTTAAAGCCAGCCATTTATGGTATTTCTTTTATAGCAACACTAGAGAACTTAAGGAGTACTAGTGTGGCACTGTGGGTTAATATGCCAGACTACAAAACTGGCTGAACTGCAAGGTTGGCAGTTCAAGCTCAACAGCTGCTCCTTCAAAACCCTATGGATCAGAACTGACTCGACGATACTTAAGAAGATAAGACAAATGATCTGTTATTCCTTTTTCTTCAGCTCTCATGGACTGCTAATGACTAGGTGGGGTACAAAATTATATAAATACAATCTGTCAGGTAAAAATTTGCATAGAAAAAAATCAGTGAAAGATTATCCAAGTACAGATAGTAGTTACCTATTATCTCTAGGTGATAGGTACAGGCACTTTTTAGTTTTTGAAGCAAGCATAAATGATCACTGAGATAAATGATACTATTTTTATAAAACATCACTTTAAAAAAGAAAAAATGGGTCTTTATTATTGGACATAAACCAATTCTATTAAAAAATTCCATAGTCCAGAAGCAAGGAAAAAAGTTCAAAATCAAAGTCTCAAGCTGGTTGAGTGAGCCGGACTTTGGTTTGTTTAGATATAAGTCTGAAACAGGTTAGTCTACAGTGCCCAGTTGGCTGGCCCATGGGCCATCTATATCTAAATCACCTAGAAACCATTTATTTTAAAAAACAAACAAACTGCAGGTTACATCCTAGACCTACTTAACCAAAACACCAGAGGTGATGCCAATATTTTATATCAACTCTCCTGGTGGTAGATCCCCGGATTTGGAAACAATTCTACCTTAAATCATGATGAAAAAAGACAGGATTATTTCTTTGGCAGAGGTAAACTCCCCTCTTCCATGAGGTTAGAGAAAGTGAACATTCAGATTCTGATACTAGGAAAGGGTGAGTCTGACCTTTGAGAATAACAGGTCCACACACTTTGTGGCTGTTTTCAGCGAGGCATGGGACTCTGTCTAGGCTGAGCTGGTAACACATAGGAGGTACCACAAGGTCAGCGGTGCAGTCAAGTTCCTTCTCCAGTGAGCTGAGGGCGTCGCAGCAAACTTGCAACCATTTTTGCTAGACAAGGAGACTTAGTGTCTCATAAGCTATGTAGTCACTTTAGGGAACAACTGACTAATATGTTTATTTCTCCCCTTTAAAAGGTCTTTTTCTAAATAAGTCTTGTGGCCAGTTGGTTCACTCACTGTAGCCACACCTGGATATACTCATTAGCAACAAAAACAGAAGGGCCAAGTCAGGAGCAACCCACACCCCCCCTCTCCAAGCACAGTGTCCCTCAAAGGGGTGAAAAGAATTAAGGGGGACAAGAACAAGATGAGCCTGTTTCCCCCTTATATCTAGCATCAAACCCAGGGCTTTGAACTGTTTCTTCCTGGTTTGGTCATCGTGGCCAACAATGGGAAATTGGAATGGACCTGGATTTGTAAAATGTGGGTAAATGAGAATGATACCTTGAAGGGGAAAAATTATGGGTCAATGACCTGCTAGACACGTAATCCCCCTCTTAGAAACAAAGGCAACCTGCACAGTGCATAGCAACCAAATCTCTTGATAAACATAGTTAAGGCTCTGTGGTGCCCGGCTCAAAGATGGTGTCTTACTACACTGCTCTGAAGGTGTGCTGCTCCACAATCCAATCGCCCACATTAGATTCCTGCAGGGGCTCACCATATCTCTTCTGACTGTTCCATTCCAGGGCTTCTAACCTTCACGTTTCCCATTTTGGCTATTGTTCTGCTTCATTCAAATTTTAACTTCAGGTCTGTTCCGATTCTGCTTGGTTGGCTGTGACTGACGTGTTTTGAACCAGTTCAAAGCCCCAGGATCAGGAACAAAACCCCTACAGATTGGCAGAAAGAATGGGTAAAGGGCTGTTAGTGTTTAGGAAGCACTGAGTGTTTACAGTGATGACAAATGTGGAAATGGACACCGGTGATGGTTGCTTATTAGGGTGATTGTCATCACTCAACTGTAAATATAAAAATGTTGGATTGGCAAATGCGTTGTAAACATGTTTATAATGATAAACAACAAGGAGAAGTCAACCAACCAAAGCCAACATGAGCAACTAACTTGCAAGTAATCTCAATAATGGCATTATGAGGAAATTATTAAAAAAAAAAAAAAATCAATATATAAAACACTGTGGATGGAGTCTGGCCTGACTCCCATTCCACTGCCTGCCCGGCTAGTAGCTGTTCCATCTTGAGTGTTAACTAGGATGAACAGAAGGGTGCAGAACAGGCATGACAGACACCCAGTAGGTGCAAATTCTGAATGTCCACAGACAGAGGGTACATGTTTTTTGCTAGAGGTCCCAAACTGACAATTTACTTTTGCATTGCTTGCAATTCTTTTTTTTTTAAACAGTTGAATTAGTTGTCAACCTTTAAGCATCAATAGGCCTCCCATAGATACCAGGATTTCCATTTTCCTTGAAAATGTGAAGACCTGCAACCCTGGGTTCTATTTCCCCAGTACTCTGTTACTAAGAATGAGGGTTAGTCACTTTACGTCTAGTCCACATCATGCATTTATTTCACATTTACTTTTTGTTTATATTACCGACTTAACCTCTCTGATATTCATGTGGCACTCCAACTGTCCTCCAAAGTCCAAGGGACTTACACCCATATTCTCAGCTTCTTTGGATGGACAAGCCAAATGGCGAGTGAAGAAGACGGAGATGTGTCTCCAGTCTACCTCTGAAATAGCTAATATACTGTTGGCTTATGGTCAGCTGACCATGAGGCCAGACTCCTGGGTTGTATATCCACTCCTAGCCCAGTCCTCCCATCAGAAGGAAAGACTTTAGTAGACAGTGGTTGGGTCTACAGGGACTTTATTGTAACAGAGAAACCAGGCTGCATTCCATCTCCATGATTCGAGCCAACGGCGGTTGTCTTTCCAAAGGGTGAAGACTCAGCCCGACTGGCAGCACGCACAGGTGAAGAGCAGAGCCCAGAATGTCCCCTCCTGGCCCTGCCCCGCACTGCCTGACTCATGCTGTGAGACGAGCAACTGCAACCCCACACTCAACCAAGGAAGGAGGTCCCAAAGGGCAGAGGTAGCATCCGGACAGGAGATCACTGAACAATGACTGAAGAGGATGCTAAGATGACAGTGCTGGTATCTATTCTCCTGGTGAGGACACGGCATGTGCATTAAAGTAGGTTCTTCATTCTTGAAATCAGTCAGTCCTGTTAGAAGGGGGTTGACAGGCCAACAGAGCAGGAGAACAGATGAAACTCTAGGCTAGTGAAAGACCCCTATGCCTAAGGAAAAGAACAGCAAGGATCAGGGAAGAGAGGAGCATTAACATGCCGCTAAGCATTACAAAGCAGAGCCTTCCTTCTTGTTTCTCTGAAGTAAATCGGGAAAGGGCATCTTTTGTTTTCCCTGCTGCAGTGCCAGTGGACGCGATGGTTTTCATCAAACATGATTTCTGTACTCTGGTTGGTTGCTGGGAAGGGCAAACATGAGGCCGGTGATTAATGTCGGAACTAGGTCTCTTCACAAAGCCGCTATAAGTGCTACTTCTCCTACTGGGAGAACAGGAACTCTTGCACACAAGGTGCTTCAGTTAAAGCTTCTGCAATATTGCAACGGTGTGATGGGTAGATTTTTGGCTCTGACTTTCTTGCACATGTAAACTCTTTTAAAACAGCTGGCGATGAAAGGGTAGGGGCAAGTTTGGTTTGGGAGCCACCAAGTGCCTGACACCAGTCATGAATGCCTCTGCCCAATTCACTACGTTTTCTTTTCTGTAAAACACATCCAATAGCTGAGTGTTAAGCACTGTGGTTGAAAGAAACGATCTGCTTGCCACCATCCACCTTCCTCATGCTCCTTGTGAGACTCACAACAGCAGAGGCTGAAGACAGACCGGTTGTCTCTGCTCCCTCTCACCAGAGAATTACTTAGTGACCTCGTGAATGGCATGGGCAAGGTACCCCACATTGCCGGAGGTGACCCCTGCCACAGAGATGCGGCCGTCCTTTGTCATATAGATGGAGAACTCCTTGGTCAGCCTCTCCACCTGCAAAGAGAAGAGAGCTTGGCCTTATTTTCCGGGACCAGGGAGTTCCCCCAGCCCTGGCATGGTACTCGTTTAGCCAACTTGTTCTTTTGTTGTTTTAAACTTACTGTGATTTAATAAGGTTACAGAGCAAATTGGCTTGCCATTAAAAACTTCATACACATTTTGTTTTGTGGCACTGACTGCAGCCCCCACAATGAACAGCCTCTGCCCACTGCCTTCCTGTGTTTTCCATTTCCAGTCCTCCTCCTTTCCGGTGCCTTCCTGCCTGCTGAGCTTTATCTCTGGGCAAATGCTGTCCTTTTGATCTCGTGTGGTTGATTGTTTAAGTATGCTCACTCAGAGCAACAAAAGAATAAGAAGCTATTTTTAAAAGTAAAAACACATCCCAAACCCCTACTGTTGTTGATTCTGACTCATAGGGTCTACAGAACAGAGTAGGGCTACCCAGAGGGTTTCTAAGACTCGAGTCTTTACAGAAGCAGCTTGCCATCTTTTACTCATGTAGTAGCTGGTGGTCTGAACTGCTGACTTTTCAGTTAATCTCAGCACTTCACCACTATGCCACCAGGGCCCCTCTTTGTAAAGTAGGAAGATGAATTCTAAGATGTGAACACGTGGGGAAAAAAACAAAAAACAAACTTTAAATTTAGTATCTGTAGAAAATAAACTGGAATTTATCTGTGGAATAGAGTGGGCCAAGCTGTATTGTTCTTGGAAAAATGGGAGTACTTTTCTACAGACAATATGACCAGCAAAGCCCCGCAAACCCCAGAGGAGACAGGGAGGAAATGCGAATAAAAAATGCTACATATTACCTTTACCGAAAAGGGCTCCAAGTGAACTCTTCAGGTTAACCATGACTTGGTTTACACAGACTGATCAATTGGTCAGCTGTGCAGACATCAGTTTACTCACCTGCTCAGGCTTGAGCCCCGTGAAACAGAACATGCCAATCTGGTCAGTGATGTGCTGCCAGCTGTGCGAGGAGCCCTCCTTCTTGAGGTTGGAGACCAGCTGAGTCCGCATGCTGATGATCCGATCTGCCATGCCTTTCACTTCTTGCAACCTACAAGAAAACCCGGAGAGGAGACACGGCTGAGCTCAGGTCTGGCTGAGCACTACCGGCTGGTTAGCTCTTTGAGGGCTCCTCACTGCACTGCTGTCAAGTCTGTTCTGACTCACAGCGACCTTACAGGACAGAGGAGAATCTGCCCCCTGGGTTTCAACGACTGTTATCTTACGGGGAAGTACATTGTCACAACTCTAACCTATAGAGCAGATGGTGGACTTGAACTGCCCTCTTTACGGTTTGCAGCCAAGTACTTAACCAGTGCACTACTAGAGCTTCTTTACATAGTTCCCTAAGGTGTCTCAACTGACCCACAGTCTGTCAATAACTTTGGAACAGAAATCTACGAAATTGCACTCTTTTTTATGTCAAAACAGAGTCAGTAAGAAACAGTTAACACAATTGGGATGTTAATAATCAACAAAGCTGCTAAAATTTAGGAAGAGTAACACTTTGGGGAAAAAAAAAACCCTTGGTGGCATAAACAGTTTGCTTAACCAAAGACTGGTGGTGTGAACCCACCAGCGGTCACCACAGAAGACAAGTGTTGGTTCACAGCCAAGAAAGTCCTAAGGAACAAATCTACTCTGCACACATGGGTTCTCCATCAGTCAGAATCAACATGATGACAACTAGTAAGAGTAACAACAAAACTCTCCATCCTTTAAGCAGGAAGCAAAAGCTGTACGTTAAACAGCTAAACAACACTTATACAGGGATGGAAATCAGCTTAAACAACATTCCTGCCCTCACAATAAAGAAGGCATTGCGAAGTTACACTGTGTCAAGCCACGTGCTGGATGCTGAGGAGAGGCAGGACTGAGGGGGGCCCTGTCTTCAGGCCTCCACTTCCTAAAGAGTGAGTTTTGGAACCAGACCTTGAACAACCTACCACGGAACAAGGCAGTTCTCTATTTATCCACGCACAGGGCTCACCCGAATCTGAACACAATCTCCCTCTTGCTCAGACTGGACCTTTTCTGTTCCACTCACATGGCTCTATTGGAGATCCTTGTTAGTGCTCACTGACTGGACCATTGTCAAAGATCGTCCTTGTCCTTACATGTTTACTTTCTTAAACTATCTTTCCACAAGTGATGTTATGCTGTTAGAATGTTACTATTATTCAGTTCCATCGAGTGGGTTCTGACCCATAGTCACCCTGTAGACAGTTTCTGAGGAGTGGCTGGTGAGCTTGAACTGCCGACCTGTGCCGTTGAGTCGATTCTGACCCATAGCGACCCTGTATAGGGTTTCCAAGGAGCAGCTGGTGAGCTTGAACCACTGACCTTGCAGTTCCAACGACTTTGCAGTCTGACGCATTAACAAACAGCGACACACCAGGACTTGCAAATTACCAACCAGAGACCGAATAATGGCCCTTTGGTGTTAAGTGCCCTTGAGTTGTTTCTGATTCATAGTGACTCTGTATAGGGTTTCCAAGGAGCAGCTGGTGGGTTTGAACCACTGACCTTGTGGCTAGCAGTCCAGTGCTAATCCTACAGCGCCACCCCAGGACTCTAATAAGGGTTGTTGGGTGCTACTGAAAGACTTCTGACTCGAAGTGACCCTGTGTAGGGTTTCCAAGAGTGGCTGCCGACTTTGAACACCTCTGCTAGCATAGTAGTTGACTTGGGCTGCTAATCTCAAGGTCAGCAATTCGAAACTACCAGCTGTTACATGGGAGAAAGCTGAGGCGCTCTGCTCCTGTAAAGATTCACAGCCTCCGAAACCCTATGCAGGGTCGACTATGAGTTCATTCCAACTCCACGGCACACCACAACATCGTTTGGTTAGCAGTCCAGTGCTTATCCTACAGTGCCACACCAGGACTCACAATATTTGATCCAGTTAGGCATTTAAAAGTTGGGCACTTGCACATTTGAATTTCTAGCTTCTCTGAAAATGAGGAGCTGACAGGCCTGCACTAGCAGCATGCTTACTAGTTAGAACTGAGGAGCCTGGGCACTCCAGGTGTGGCATTTGATTTTAAAGTTCCTTGCAGTCCCCAGGTAGCCAGTGCCATTCACCATGAGGTCTGGCTCGTACTGGCAGCACGTAGGATCCGTACACTTCCCCCAAGCTCCTGGTTCTGAGGAAAAGCCTCACATTTTATCATGGCGCTTCAGCGATTGACTCCTCCCTTTCCAACCCGGTGACTTCCCACGCTAGGAACATGGGAACCTGGGGCTCCCTAGGCACAGTGCACACCACTCGCTCCCAGGCTTACACCTCAGTCTCCTGGCACAGTGTTTGGAGTGCTACAGACTCCCAAATGTGCACTGAAGTGCACACATAAAAAACAAAACCACCACCACAAAACCTTCATAACTACTGAGAATTTGGAAACACAGAAACACAATTAATATATTACGTGAACCAACAAGGCTAGAAGAACCCCGAAACTACTGCTCTGAGATAATCTTCAAGCTTAAATCAAAAGTATCCCTTCGGAGTCTTCATAGGTTAGCTGAACTACAAAAAAAATGCCTGTCTTGAGCATTTAGCTTTTGTAGGAACTACTGACATGGAATCAAAGTGACAACAACAACTCAGAAAGATTAGGTCAGAAGCTTAGGGGGCAAGGAGTTTATGTAGATGGAGGAGGAACTAGGAGGGTGAGAATGGTTGAACTTGAAGAAGAACATCATTAACGTCACTGACCTGCACGTGTAGAGCAGTTGAGCTGGTGGATGATCTGCTGTACACATTCTCAACAACAATAAATTACGGGAAAAAAGCTCAATATAATTCTAAGTGACAAAAATAAAACCAACCTTAGACACACACACATACGCATTCCATATGTAAGCACGCACACACACCTAACTATGGATCACAATGGGGATAAAAAAAGAAATTGGGTTGCAGTGGCTGGAGTCACTGTGAATTTTTTCCTTCTCCCACAATTTCTGAAATGTACTTATACGTTAAGTACTATATGTTACTAGAGGCCAGTTATAAAGGAAAAAACACAATTTATATTTTAAAAAGCAGCCAACTTTTTGGTAACCCTGGTGTACATCCTGTACTTACAGAGAGCTTCCATCAGTGCTTACAGGATTTCTCTGAGGCAGAAGTAGTTGTCACATGTTAACGGGATGAGCTATACAAATATCTGCTCAAAGATCTACCCTCTCAACTAGCTATGCCACAGAGGATAAACTCATACATGACAAATCACATGTTGTACAGACATCTTGGTTTATAACAGAGCCGTGGCTGGCGGGGCTTCATTTTGTTGTACACAGGGTCGATATGAGTTGGAACCAACTTGACGGCACCTAATGACAACAAGGGTTAGCAGACTTTTGACAAAGGACCAGATAGTAAATATTTAGTTTTCTGGGCTATTTCATCTCTGTTGTGACTACTGAAGCCTGCTGTTACAGCATGAAGCTGCCAGACAATCATAACTGGCTCTGTTTCAACAAAACTTTATTTACAAGAATAGAGGGCAGGCTGGAGTTGACCTCCAGAACATAGTTTGCCAACCCCTGCTCTAGAGCAAAGTTTTAACTGGTATGTCATGATCCACTGATTGGATATATGTGCAGCTTAGAAGGGTGCAACTGGCATTTAGGAATGGTAACGTAAGGTGGCCACAGTACTGAGCTCTGAAACTTGTTCCAGGCAAGCACACGCACACACAGGTATGTGTGTTCAGAGTAACCATGTAAAATCTCTCTTGTGATTGAGCGACACTCATTTAGAGAACAGGTACCAAAATTAATAACAATAAAAAAAATACCATTCTTGAGAAAGTGCTCTAAAGTAAGGAATGTGAACTTGAACTCAGGGGAAGTGGGAATGAATGAATACAGGAATACTGCACACAGAAGACTAGCTTTGGGTGTTGTGGGGGAGGTGTTGGGTTGCTGACCAAACCCAACAGCTGTTCCGCAGGAGGAAGCTGAGACTGCTTGCTTCAGGAAAGATTCACCTTTTTGTAAACCCTGTACGGGGTTGTTAGGAATCAGAATGGACTCAAGGGCAGTGGGTTTGGGTATTATAGGGAATAAAGAAGCCCTTGTGGCACAATGGGTTATGTGTTGGGCTGCTAGTCACAAGGTTGGTGGTTCAATCCCACCACCCACTCTTCAGGAGAAAGATGAGGCTTCTCTGTTCCCATAAAGATATGAAATCTTAGAAACCACATGGAGCAGTCCTGTTCTGGCCCTACAGTGCCACTGTGAGTTGGAATCGATTCAGTGGCATTGGGAATAATGAGCTTATTGTTTGAAAGTGCTAACAAAAAGTACTTTCTCTCTTTCCCACTTCTGTGCAGGAAGCTGTCAAGTCTGGCACACCATCACAGTCCAGTTACAAAACTGCTCTGAAGGAGCATTGGTAGGAATAGGCAGGTAGTGACGAGTGGCACTGAGCCTTTACCATTGTTTCCGCAAATCCGGGGTCGTCAGAATGGTGGAGGCAATCCGGGCCCCATTGAGAGGAGGGTTGGAATACATGGGACGGATCAAGATCTTCAGCTGTGACTCCACCTTTTTGGCTGTGTCAGCATCTACGCAGACCACAGTGAAGGCTCCCACACGTTCACCTGAAAAGACAAAATAGATCATGCCTTCGAGTTCTATGGTCTAATGGACCACATTAAATCATAGTGAAACTTTCATCAGAAGCCTTGTAATAATAATTCTTATCAATGTTTTCAATAACCAGAATGGTGAATCCAGGTGCAACCCAAAGTCTGAGCACTCAATCATATCCAAAGGTCTCTTTTGGCTCAGAACAGTTACTTTTTTTTTAAAAGTACTTTACTATTATATTCTACACTATATACAGGTCATAAAAGGCCATAGCAGTTTTCCAAAGTAGCGGGTAGACAAGTATCAAATGAAGTCCAGTAATGAGGGCATATAGTCAGTGCAGTATTTCTAAGGAGTAACAAAGCAGATACCAAGTAATCCACAGTTACCTTTGTTGTTGTTGTTGTTAAGTGCCGTC